AGTTGCCAGAATAAACACTAATTTCATAGTAAAGGGAATCTTTCTTTTTGATAAAACGATAAAATTTGTTCTTTTCTCTATTTGTTGCTTTATATCTCTCTCTATAGTGTGCATAGAAAGAAAAAAACATCAACTCAAGTATAGTACAGAAAAGAATATATACATACATCGTCATTCTGTTATACCATATTCTTTTTCTCAGGCATGTTGAATAATACTGTTCTCAATTTTGTTTCCAATCAAATGAAAAACCGGTGAAAATATTCACCGGTGAATAAATTCACCGATGCGAATTTTGACGGCTTCCCTAAGTAATCAGAGAAAGATCACTTCTACATAAATTGTAAGTACTTACTTACAGTGAACAGAGATTTATTGTTCAAAACTTATCAACTTACTCAGTAACCACTTGCTAAGGAAGTACTACATTTAATGTTCTTTAAACGTGACGAAAGTTCACCACTACTGTGACGAAAATCCGCCTCATGCAACGAAATTTTTCGTGTGTGTGACGAAAATTCACACTTTCGTGACGACAGTTCCCGAGGAGTACCTCCCCCCAAGGAACTTTCGCCATGTATGATCAAAGTGCGTTCGTCATAATGACGAAAGTGTGGTGTGACGAAAGTTCCATAATCTAAAAAAAGGGGATGGGCCCCGCCTCACGCTTTCAGAAAATGTAAGCTTATTTTAACAAAATGTTGCATAAAATCAATATATTTAAGTTTCATAAAGAAATAAAGAATAAACAATGTGAAGCGAAGCATTCACGCGTCCCGTTGACTGTAAACATTCTTTTGTGTTCACTTTGAGTCAACATTCTTTTATTAGAACAAATGAAAAAGCTAGAAGAATGGCAGCGTAGCTGTCATAACAAAAAATACTACTACTCCGTTTAATACAGTCTCAAAAACTATGTTTTGCAAAAACATATGTTCAACGTTTAATAAGGTGGTGCTAATGGTGGCAGTTGATGGCATGAGTAGAAATATTGATGCGATCGCAGGTAAAAACCGTTATTATGCAACAGTGACAACACGAGAATATCGAGAAGCACTAAAAGTCTTGGAAGATGCTGCTGCATGTAAACTAAACTATAGTAACAGAACGTATGCTGATGCTATAGAAAAACTGATAGTTAGAAATTCTGAATACGATAGTGCTCTACTATGTGGAAAAAATGAAGATAATTATTATCATTTGGAACTAAGAAAATTTTATGCTGATCATCGGATATTGGATAGTGAAAAAAAAATTATAATTAATTATATGTTACATTGTCTACCGGATTTGGAAAAGGGTATATATAGGCCCGCCGTTACGCTGATCAGTAACGATGACGATTTAGTTTCATTCTTCAAATTTTACAATGGTTCTGGTAGAGAAAACATTGACAAAGATGCCGGTGGAATGTATGCTATAATCAAAAATATGGAATTCGGTGGCATGATGTCTATTAGACAATCAGTTATAGATCCAGAAGCAGCGGAAATGTCACTTTATTTAAGAGAATTTCTTCAAAATAAGAAAGTTGGCGCAAGATTGATAAGTAGATTGCTTAGAAAATGCTTTCTAGAAATAGAATATCCATTAAGCGCTCTGAACTTCGTTTTCAGACCATGGAATGAACGAATAAACTCAATCTTTTCTAAGCTGAATGGCACAATATTTGGAGCAGCTGTAAACAGTGAAAACGAAAATATAGCCAACTATGGTACTATTTCACGAGAATTCTATGTCAAGAAGCTAACAGAAAATGGTGATGCAATCAACCAAATTGCAGGATTCCTTCCTTGTACAAAGCAGAAAAGAAAATGAGGAAAAGGAAGCCGAACGATCGTCGAAGGGATTTGAAACAAAGAATATTCCAAGCAGTAAAGGCACTCCAACGGTATAAACGGGTATCTTTGGTAGAATAAGCGTTGTTTTTTTCAAAACTAAAAGCCTTTTCGATTGTGAAAAATCTGAATGTGTTTTTTTGTACCTTGAACGCCGATTTTATTTATGATCTTATACAACAACTGGCCAACATAGTAAACCTTCTTATGGCAATTTCAGTTGCAAGTGTAACAACTGAAGCAGCTTTTCGATTGCCAGTTAAATGGCCAACTACAATATCTTTTCTTTATTTCTCTCTACCATCTCTTTAGAATGAACGGGCTCGATATCAGTTGACGGCTTCGAAAAGTTTTAGCTGTTTAAGCCAAAAAAACGAGTCTCGTGATTCGGGCCATTACCATCATCATCACCACCACTCGTGTACAAGGTAAACAAAAATGATTTTCATATTTCTTTTTCTTTGTGTTCTTTATATTTATTTTACCGTAAAAAGTTATAGTCTATCAGGTCAAGTGCAAATACTCGATTCAAAAATAAAAAAATCATTTGTACAAGTCTGTTAACTTTTTATGAAAAATAAAATGTGCTTAGAAACAATTGTTTTAAAAAGTCAACAGCGAGTAAATGTTTCCTACATTCTAAATCTGACCGTAGATTAGTAATATACTTCATCAATATCCTTGGGGAAGGAAGCCGTAAAAATTCGCATCGGTGAATTTATTCACCATTTGATTGGACCAATCATTCTCATCTTTGAACTCGATCGAGATGTTGTTGAGACGATTATACGTATAAAGTTTCATCACATTGGGTTCAGATTCTGAAGAGTTATCGTGTAAACGGATGGACGGACGGACATACTGACCGATTTAATGTATTCAATTTTTTCGTACACAAAAATACTATGCAAATGAATGTTTTGACATTTGCTCCTAGAAGGTAGAAATCGATATTCCTATCGTACAGTCCTGTTAAACCATTTCGCAGGATACGTTGAAACTTTTTTTTGCCTCTTTCACAAATAGATTTAGATTTTGTACGAAGCCACAAACGTTCAAGCGTATCTTGCAAAACGATTCAGCAGGATTGTACGATACGAAAATTGATTTCTTTTAGAGAGTAGTTTGGAGTAATTTAATAGAAGAAATCAGTTTCAGATGAAATCGGATGCGAAATTACTTTAAATTCATTCAAAATAGATCAGTTTAAACGGATTTCATTTTAAACTAGTTGCAATTCATTTTTTCAAATTAATTGAAAACAATTTAACAACAGAAATCAATTTAAATCAGTTTTGATTGATGAATTAATGTAAACTGATTTATTTCATATAAATTTGAATTAATTCGACTTCTCAAATTTTTGTGAATCGGTCTAGTCTATTTCGAGGGAAAAAAGAATGATGAGCTGCCATTAACACATTATAATAAGTCCTTTGAGTTATATCAGTTACGCAGCGAGCAAATGGAATGTGCAAGTTTAAATCAGATGATTGGTCCCTGCTATGCTTCTTTTGTCTCTATGCATTTATGGTGTCTGATAAAAAAAGAAAAATCTGATCCCATTCTTTAGATCTGGCTGTGTTGCATCGCACTTATTTTAGGCAACGAAGATGACACCTAATCTTCGTTGCCTGAAATAAACTAAGAGCAAGGATTCTCTTCGGGAATTTTTAACAACCAAAAGTATTTTTAAATTTTACTTTTTTAAAATTCTATTGAGATTTGATAATAAAAAAAATAAAATTCTATTGAGACATAATAAAGCAATATTGAGCAAAATTAATATTGGCTTTCTGAGTTAAAAAAATCACATATCCGCCTGATGTATGGAAAAATGCCCACTGTGTGGCGGTGACAGAATGAACTTATTTAATTCGGTTCTCCATCCATATTACAGGCGTGGGCGGAAACACCGGGGCACAAATAAATATTAGATTCGTGATCGGCATCAAAAACTACTTGTAATCGGCTATGTTGGAAGTTATTCTCAGATGGGATACTTGGGGATGTTCCCTTGTTAGCTGCTCTCTTCCTATCCTTTATAAATACATCATTTCTCGTTTTATCATCCTTCTCCTCAATCCTCAAAACGTTGATGCCCTAATAAATGGTTCTTTAGGAGACTACATAACATCTTTAACATATTATGAGCAATCACTTATTTTATATCAAAAATATTATCCTGACACATTTGATCTTAAATCTGGTTGTAATTTGGTAGTTTAATATAATGAAAACAAACAATTTAGTTCAGCACTTGAATATTATCTAAAATTTTTTGAATTATTTGAAGATGATGATAATAACAAAGAATTAGCCCGTGCTTATAATACCATAGGAATATGTTATGAAAGTCTGGAAATTATTCTGAAGCTTTAAAATATTATAAAAAAATTTAAAAACTACGAATGATGTTAATGTTTGTTACCGAATTGGTTATTGTTATGATAATAAATAATTGTACACAGAAGCTATCAATGCATTTTTTAAAATGCTTAGAATTTCAACTAGAAACAACATTAGTATTTGATGCAATAGCATTTTCTTATTGGAATAATCAAGATTATGATAATGCTAGTGTTTATTGGTTAAAAACATTAGAAATTAAACAACAAAATCAAAACCAACATCAAGTTAAAGGTACAGCGAGTATCAAGTAATAGCTTTTGTCTAAGAGAATCAGACAGATAGTGGCCGTCATCAACTTCGATTAAGTCCTCTCAATCTTAAAAATCCATTTTCGACATGATATGTTAGTTATCGTTAGTATTGCCTTCAAATGTTGACGGTGATCTTCAGCGCAAGCGCTTAAGTTTTTTAGAGTTACTTTTGAAATAACGATCATACAGTAGGTGTCTCCAAATTTCTCTTCGTTTTAATCATCTTTAGCTCGGCTTTAGGCTAGTATTATGATCAAAGTACACAGGTGGCAATATTATAACTTTCAAAAAGTTGTCCTCCCGATTAAAATCAACACTTAGAAAAACACTTGCTGGTTGCATACTCACCTAAATGCAGTGCTACATAAAATATATATAACGAGCGGACATAATAGACTACTTTTATTTCCTTTTCAGTAGCACTTAAACAAAGCTTCATGATTTGTTCCAAAACTCATTTGAGAGAGACTTTTCTGCTAAACCTTGTATATACAATGTGAACATACTGGTCTATATTTCGAAAATGAAGTTTAATAATAGCAAGGAAAAAGTAAATTTGCTACTAACTAATTCTGGCATAAAAAACGATAAAGAATTTTCTGCAAGATTCACTACGTGACAGTTTTACCATCTATCTTTTACTTATGAAATCCACGTTGTCCCAAGGGTGTTTTCCAAAGGCGATAACGGACTAGTGCACGAAAGTTTTCGTATTCTGTATTTCGATTTGAGAAACCAGTGAAACACAGCAGGTAGTCTGAGTCCAGTAAACATTTTCACAAAACTTACTTTGATCGATTTCAATACAATTTTTCGAAAAACTTAATAAAAACCCGGAAAACAGCAAATTTTCACCGTAATTCGCTCTTTTACTTTTAACTCTCCATTATTAAACTTCATTTTCAAGATATAGACCAGTATGTTCATATTGCATATATAAGATTTTTCAGAGCAGAAAAGTCTCTATAAAATGAGTCTTCGGAGGAATTCTCAAGCTTTGTTTATGTCCTACCAAAAACGGAATAAAAATGGCCTGTTACTTATAGCCCACTCCAAAGTGGGCAACCATGTGGACATTAGGTGTAAAAACGAAAGTGGACTTTTGACAAATTCAAATAGCAAACCATGTACTTGGGCAAACGCTCTATCTTTTTGCCATTGGAAGTTTTTCTAGGTGTCATAATTAGTGACAAAATCGCCATGTAAATTTTTTGTCGCAAAAATTAACGATTAAGCTAAAAAGATTATTTTCGTCAAAACAAAGTACGATTTTCGCAAAACTTATACATCGTGCGAAACTAGACCTTTGACTCTATCTATTCCTAAAAGAAAAATTTTCCAGAACGCTTTATCAGCGACAAAAAAATTTTCTTTCTACGTAAGTGTGTTCCAAAAAGCGTACCGCAGTATAGTGGGTGCGCGAAGGTAAGCGAAGCTCCAAGTTCAATGAAATTTTTACTGAACGTTCCTCTACTAACGATATATCGACGCTGTTAGCGCAAACTAGCGCAGATGTTCTTGGGCTTTATAGGTGTTCCAGGTAAAATCAGATTATCTCCTTTTGGAAACACATGTATTCAACAATAATATCATATTCGAAATTAGCGTAAAAAACTGCATCAAGTGATATATAACTTTCAGCAGTTTCTTGGAAAAAAATCGTGGAAAGCTAAATTTGAGGCAGCACCCTGGTACTTGAGGCCAGTGGTTTTTATATCCTTAGAAAAGAGATCTGGAGGCCTACGAATAATTGTTTTATAGGTTTCGGAGTACGGCTGATTCAATGGATTTATTTATAAAACTCTAAACTGGTTTTACAAAGGTTTTCTGGACCCGAATCTCTGGAAAACCCTTAAAACATGAATTTTGACCTTTGTAAGTGACTCCATTAGCAAGGACATACTCGAAAACCTACAAAAACATATCTGAGAGATCTAAAAGTGCTATCTGTCTGCGTAGATCTCGTTCCATGGGAGGTTAAACTTCGAACCCTCGAAGGTTTTTAAGCGTTTTTAGATATATGGGCTGATTGCGCTGGTATTGTACGGTTTGACTAAAAAAAGTCAACAAAATAAACTTGCTTTGAAATTTTTTCCTTTAGTCGGATTATATACTAGTATCATCAGGGTTAATGAAATAAAAAATTTCCCGACTGTCACTTTCTTTCTTTCGGAAAAAATGAGCCTTTCGTTGAAGAGTCTCCTGTCCAAAGCCAATAAATTTCATTTGTGCGTTTTCTCCGTCATGCAGCATGGACTTTCGCTGAAATTTGACTACAGGTAGTCAGCCATGCTGATTGCGAATATCAACATGAGATGGGCTGATAGGCCTCCAGAGACCGGTTTTCCAGAAATTCCAGAAAAACACCAAAACATTTCTTAATGAGACATAAGTGTAGCCCGCACATTTCTGATTAAAATGCGACCTCTCTCAGCTCTACACGACCTTTCTTTGCAAAGTTATAGAATTTACAAGAAAAGCTCTAAATTACTTTCCCCTTATTTCTGTAGCTTTGAGCGGTAACGGTCTAGAATGTCCTTTTAAAAATGTCCTTTACGATGTCCTTCCGACATTTTGTCCATGGAAAAAATCTCCTCCTACATAAATGTCCTTAGTCGAAATATCCATGGGATATTGTCCTGGACGGTATGTTCCTGTTGAAAAATGTCCCTTGGATAAAAATGTCCTTTCGGTGAAATATGCCCAGTAGATGGTGAAACTACTAATCATCTAATTAAATTTATTGTATCGCATTGAATTTTACTTTATTACGCATGTACAACAAAAAAAGCAAGTCGGCGTAATAAATCATGGGCTGTAATTTGGTTATTGTGAATCGATCATATAATTCTTTCGTTCGTTGTTCAACAATTCTGGACTTGGGCCGTTTTGAGCCACGAGGTCGCATTCCACTATTTATTTGGATAATAATATCATGGACAATATCGACTTCTTTTCGAATTGAATCAACAAATGCCCATATATTGGGATGGTTTTGTATCCGCCGTTTAAACCTATGGTTGTATCCTAAAAATACCGAACCTTATTTATAACTTCCTACTAATGTACTGTCTTCAAATACGTTTGGAAACTGTTTAATATCTTAATGTGAAAAAATAGTAGAATAGCGAAAGTCAAATGTTCAATAATTTGGGAGATATCAATAAAATATTTTTCAAAAACTCGCGGGACATTTAGTGTGAAAATAGCCATTTTTAAAAATGTTTTACTCCTCTCTAACGAAAGGCATAATTAAATTAATTTCTTTTGTTTATCAATATGTTACTCTAACTGTCAGCTATCGTTTCCATATTTTCGATAAGGTCTAAGTCAAGTCTGGGCTGGGCTATCACGCTGATCCTCGCGGGACAAAAAAGCACTGTTTAGTCCGCGACGCCATTGTTAGTGTGAATTTACCTACAAACGATGTATGAATTTGGAACTCATTCACATGTTTTAAAAGTAGCATGTGTTTATTACAACTTATTTGCAAAGAGCAAGTTGAGATGCTATTTTATTTAAATAAAAAATTGATTTTATTGTCCGTAGGTGTCAGCTAAAATCATGGTTTTTCATAGTGAGTTGCTAATAACTCGATAACCACTTGTAACTTTGCGTTAATTTTTTCAGTGGTAGTGAGCATAGTTTAGATAAATAACATATAAAAATTTCGCTAAGATTCATTCACTAACAAAAAAGTTATAGCTTTTTTACATCTCGGATATGAACGGTACAATGGCAGCGCAAATCGCTCATATACATATATGGCATAGCTGGCTGACTAGTTGCTTGCTTGGTCGATGATGTAGTATATGAGAAATGTATCGAATTAAACGAGCACGCAGCGCCCATACATCGAAAACTTCATCCCGTTGCCTACGCATCTAATGAGATTCTTTTCTGATGACAACATGTATTACAGATCTTTTGTTCCGAAGAAATACCGCATATTTCGTCGTAGAACTCGCTTTCTATCATTCAGCCCTTTCTATTCTCATCTCGTCATGCTGTGAGCGTTCTTCATATCAAGACATGATAGTGATGAATAAAGTGTAGAAAACTGATCATGAAAAAAATCGGTGAGTTTTATACAAACTGTTTATCGCATTATAAGGGACAACCATCCAAAATAATTGAAGTTCACATTTCTATTGCATCTGTATATACAGAAATTACACAGTACCATAAAGCTCGTCAAGAATACGAACAACAATTATTATTTATTGAGCAAAACGATCCTGATGCCATTGGTTATCATAACACATTAATTGGTTGGTGTTATTCAAAAGAAAAAGATTACGATCATGCTGTGGAACATTATTTAAAAAATTTAGAATTATACACGATCAATCAGAGATACTTGATGTTTATTTGAATTTAGACACGTGCTATTATGACAAGGAAAGTTTTAATCAAGCACTATTTTATTATAGAAAAGCTGTAGAATACACAAATGAAACACAATTATCAGTGAAAACTGATTTATTTATGACTATAAGCAGATGTTATCAAAGAGAATATGAACAAGGACTGGAACAATGTAAAACATGTTTAAAATGAATAATCAATGATAAACAATCAATTGATGGTAATGATGATCACAATGATGTTCCATTTTATACAATGATAGTCGATGATCAGAATATTCAATATAATCAGAATAAAGATCTACACATGATAACATTCAACAAAAATGTCCGGCTGCAAGTGGACTTCAGGCTAAAATAATCACGTGTTATAACTCTGTGAACGAGTAAAACGAGAATTAGTTAAAAGTCCGTATCATACCAAAGGCATTTTGTTTAAGTAGCAGCTTTAGTAAATTGGTTTGCTGAAGTAACAGCTACAATAATGTAATGCAGAGAAGTGTATGAAACTATTGTGTCGAAGTAATAACTGCGACAAATATATACAGAAATATTGCAATCACAGAGAAGATTTTCTTTACAGAATTAAATGACGCTTCTTATTTATTTAATGCTGAACCAGAGGCTATCGAATGTAAATATATCAGAACCGGATGACATCTTCTGCCCTACTAGTTATGTCGTACATTCCACTTATGCTGTACAGTGTTGTAACTCATAGGTCTCTGAAGGAGTATGCACAGTTTTAGTAACAAGTGCATACCATACTTTGACGAAGGTATTTTGTTCAGGTAGTAGCTTCGAGGTGCTACGTAACTGATTATACACAGAATTCTTAGCACTTTTAGCCTGTTACAAGAAAACATCTTCACTTTGGTCAAGGGAAGTATTTTACTCCGTACATGAGAGAAAAGATTTTTAGCAATCTTTCCTATGAGCAATTACTTACAAAGTAAAATACCATCAGCTTATGCAGTTTTTCACACTTTTTTTGAAGGTCATATTTAATGCAGGCATGGGCAAGTCCAAGCTAAGCCCGAGTCCTTAGAAATTTAGGCCGAGTCCCGGTCCAGAGTTCATTTCGAGTCTGGTAATCTTTTAGATTCTTTTTTCGATGAGGATGGTTTGCAATAAGGTTACTTTGCATGTCCATCTCCGGAACAAAATTTTCAATTTCTTGTGATACAGAAGGTGTTGTTATTTCCCTTTTCATTTTTCCTTCATTTGTGTTAAAAGTTGAATGGACAGGACTCGAACTACAAAAACTCAAGTCCGAGTCCGAGTTCGCCAGAAAATCTTCCAGTCCGGACTCGGACTCGCCCCAGCCTGATTTAATGCTGAGCAACGTTCGTACTTGCTAGGAAACCTAACAAAAAACTTTGCACTTGTTGTGAAAAGATGTCATTTGCGTTCCTGTCAGTATTTCGGCTCTGAACCATACTGTTCTGATTTCACCTAATCTGCCATCTTCAAACAGAAGAAGTATTCAATTCTGGAGTTGGTTTTCTTCTTGTTAAACGTGGAAAGAAGCAATAAAGAGAGGCAGAGATAGGAAGAAACCGTAGCGTTCTTTCACGGATGTTCGCATTATCATCCTTTTTTCTGCTAGTAGAACATGCTGGTATGTGTGGGTGGTAAGTATTCATGGCAGAACAGTGGCATGGTACGCAAAGGAGACGCATTTTCTTAGCTAGCATCTCTTTTTCAAGCCTCCACCGAGGAACACCTTTAAAATCCAAGGGCAAAGGAATATATTATCGACCGGCAGTCGCATGTTTCCACATTCAAACTTCAAAGGACCGAGACGAAACTACTCTCCCAGTGATCCTTTGACTGCTCGGGAAAACCGCAAACACCTCGAGCTGAATCAGATGTTGATCGGTTAAATTTCACGTTCATAAAGCCAATGAGACACCCATCCAACCGATTCCTCACTGATGCTAGAGGGTATGTGCGATTCAGATAACAAACTCAACCTTGTGGTTCCTTGTGCATAAAGCTCTTTTCTGGTCGTAACTACAGTAATGCAAACATTTCCATGTACTTTTGTCCGAAACACAGCCTATTATTGTCGAAGAGGCATGTCAAGACAATGAGGAAAACCATCATCGACCGGACCATTCAGTGCTTCCGAGATGATAAGACGGTCGGTCGAGTTTCCTACGCCATCCTCCGCTGTTTTCCCGGTTGTTTTTTATTTGAATGCAATCTTTTTGACACTGTTATTCTGAAGAAGAACGTCATATTTTAAGAACATTTTTAAGTCGGCGGAGCGATTTCATGTCTTTGCCTTCTCGGCTGCGCACAAAGAATTTCACTTTTTTGTTTTCTTCTATTTTTTAGTGTCACATTTTTTTGTTTGAACGCCATATCTCTGAAACGGATGCACGGATCGAGATGTAGATTCCACTGCCGTATTTTTAAAGGCTAGTACGGGGGTCGTTACCGCGATCACCTGTCTCGGTGGTTCAGTTCGAGATGAGTAATGGATTCAAAAAAGACTGCAGGATTTTATTTGAAACTTTTTCTCGTTTGTCTTTTCCTCGATCTTTTTATTTGGTGACAAGGAAAATATTACAATCGAGACTCTTTTAAGATTTTAAAACTCACAAAAATGAGTGATCTACCGGAGTGCATACAATTTCGTACTTTCGACGTACATCTTTTTTCATTTTTGCTTTAGAATATCGAATAAAAATAGGATTAAGAAAAGGTGTAAACCGTATTTGATGGCTGAGATCTGAGGTGCCGGTGAAAGTAAGACTTGGTCACAGTGGGCATTTTTTGCTAGAGCAGGCGGACTTTAGCTTTATGAGTGAACTAAAATTTCATGAACCATTTTTTTATAGGTTTTTCATGATCCTCTTTCTAATGCCATGAGAGCTGGGTTTTGAAAAAGTTTTCTAAGGAGTTTTCCAGAGATCCAGTCTATGGAAAACCTTTCAGAAAACTTTCTCAATATTTA